TGGAGTGGCACTGTGGTCTCTGCACAGCCCTTGGGCGCCCCTTGCCCCTCCAGGAGTGCGTCAGGAAAGCGTCAGGCAGGTGCCCCACGAGTCAGCACAGCCAGGCGTGGCTGAGAGAGCCCCTGAGAAGATGCTGCTGGTGGGGCCTCCCCGTCCAGACCTGCTCTTTTTAGGCCGCTGTCTCTGCCGCCTTTGGATGAGATTTGCAGGAGCTGAGCCTCAACACCTCTTCTCTCAGAACTCTGGGCTCTACTGTTATGTGTGGCATCCCAAATCCTTTATCTTTAACCCTGATGTTCCACTGGATTATTGTATTTCAGCCTTTGAAAGATTTTCTCTTTTCCTCAAACATGCACAAAAATATTGTTGAAAGTTCCGCTCATTGTCAAGGCTATTGGTGCTTCCAGTTTGCTGCCAGGGGTGCAGCGCAGAACTATTTTAGATGGATCAAGGAACTTGCCCAATTACTGGTTAATTTTCTCCTTAGATGTTCAAAGACGAGTCCTCTTGTAGTACATCAGCATAATTTAAAAATATTTTTCTTAATTATTCTAAAGCTCTGTTTGCTTATAAAGCTGTTGCTACCCTTTTGAATCCAATTATTTATTAGTAATATGTTTAACACGTGTTCTTGAGGGAACCAAGCCCTGTAAGTCGGACACTGACTGGTGTTTTGGTGTTGGTCTATTGCCCAGTGTCAGTGCCTGTGAAACTGCCTGAAAACTCTTACAGTAAATTTCCTGAATATACCCACAGAGGGCTGGAAAACAATGTTGTGTCACAGATGGATTTACCAGGGTCTAACCCATCACACTGCCCTCCTCCCTTTGGCAGCGGGAATCAGAACTTTGACCTGTGACTAAAAGAAAGAAACATCACTGCCTGAACTTCAAAAAAAGGAAAATCTTAGTGACAATCTTCATAGCATTTGATAGTTTCTTTGCTCAGGGCCCCATCACCAGTGCAGAGGTGCAGTGCCAGTCTGCAGATCAAGTTCTGTCGCCCCAGCAGAGTCCCTTGATGTCCGCCATGTGAAGGAAGGACAGGAGCTGCTGCGTGTGCTCAGTGGAAGAGATTTCCCCGTAAGGATCTCGGGGAACGTGTGGAGCAGCAGCCCTCCCTGAACCCTTGCCCTTGCACGGTGGCCCTGTTGTGATTGTGTTTTAAGTTACACGAGCCTGCAGCTCAGGAGGAGCCCCTTCCCTGACGAGTACTGAGCTGGCAGCTTCTGAGCCTGCGGAATCAGAGGCGAGGCTGGTGCTGAGTGCCCAGAGTGGAGTGTGTGCTCTTTACCTGTGCACTGCCTGTGGCAGCCCCTCAGGAGGGGCTGGGGGCTTTGTGGGACTGGCTACAAAGGCCGTGCCTGACCCTGATGAGCTTAACAAAGCCAGATCCTCTGGTACCTTAGTGTGACCCTGGTTTAACAGGGCACTTCTAAGCCCTGCCATCCTGATTCTGACAATGTCCTGACTAATCACATTAACCCCAAATCTCAGGCTTATTCTTTCTCCTCATAGGTAAAGAATACAATTTTTTCATGTGAGAGATTATTTTCCAATACTCATTTATGGGCATGAGTGGAATAACTACAACCAGTTACAGTTTCATCAGAGGATGAGCTCTTAAGGTGGAAATTGTTAGAGAGCAGTATCATTTGATTGAAGGGCAATATATGCTGCTAGGTTCTGACCTTTTCGCAAAAAAACCCAAAAACTTGTCAGATTTCAGCCTGGATCCTTACTTATCCAGATGGAAGGCTCAGTCTTATGCTGCCAAAGATTTTGCAAGCTTTTCTTACAAGCATATTAAAACCCTGGTGTTGCCATATTTCATTTGGCAATAGTTGTCCTTTGCCTCTCTTCTGGATAATATTTAGCTTTATCATAATCATTATTAGTTGCTACTGTTCTGCTGGGAGCACTAGTTTGCATTTAATTACAGCCCACTTGCAGATAGCCTATGTGGCCCTGGTTCAGCAAACGCTTGCAGCAGGTGTGTCATTTTAAAGCCCGTGAACGGGCTCATTGAGGTTCTGTGCCTGCATGCCCTGGCTGCAGGAGCCCTGGGCCAGGGGCCGTGCAGAGGGGCTGCTGCTGCTACAGCTGTGAGCTGAGGCTGCCCGTGCCACCCCTGTCATATCTCAGCTTATCACCTGGAATGGCTCTGAAACTGCACCTGGCAGCCCACTGGCTTTAGATAGAACTCGAGGACTTTTGGATTTCTTAGAAAGAACAACAGCTTTTTGTCAGCCGAAGACAAAGTAGAACCCTCTATCTTGCACGCTTCCTTGGCTCAGTACAAATTTTAGCAACATTCTCTATACTAGAAGTAAAACTTGGCTGAATGACCTACCAGACAGCAGGATATGCTAGGCACATTCACAATACTGTATAATTTAATTGGCTAGTTGGAAATGCATAATAAAATACAGGGTGTTTGAGTTATTACTTAGCTGCCTATGTAATTACTTCTGTTTAATATTTAATTGTGTTGATCTTTCTGTCTTGTCTTTGTTCCACACAGAAAATAGATCCCCCTTTTTGTCTATTCACAGGCATTGGGCTACTGGGTAGAGGGCTTTGCAGCTAATCTTCCTGATTGTTCAAATGTCACCGTAAAATATTTAGCATCTTGATAACTCCAAAGCTATCAAAACAGATTGGTTGGTAACAATTAAAATTATGCTAACATCACTAAAACAGATATAACGGAGTGATGCTTGTTAAGCACTTAATGATCCCTTTCTCCAAGGAATTCCATTTCAATTTCTTTATGCTGCCTGATTGCTTTACTGCATCCTGCAGGTTCTGTGCGCTGCTGCTCTGTGTAATACATATTCAAACCCTCCTCTGAGCTCTCATCGTGCCAATCAAGGATGCAAATGGAGTCTGTATGACTGTGTGATCAGAATTTCTTTGCTTGTTTGCGAGCCCGTAAATAATGGAGTGAATAAGGATCTGATGTGTAACAGTATAAAAGTAATCAGACCTTGTATCTGGCTTCCAGTAAACATCAGTATGGCCCTGATCCAGCCACTGCTGTAATCAATGGGAGGCTTTATTGACTTTAATGGGAGTTGAATTAGGCCTTGTCTGAGGCTTGAAAATTCAGCTGCAGCTCTTGGGGCCGGTCCTTGGCCGGTGTAACCTGGCTTTGTGCTCCTGGGGATGAGGCAGCTGATGTGCCTGGCCCTGCCCTGGGCTGTCACCCTCACACCCTGCAGCTCTCTGTGCCAGGCCAGCCCTGGCTCTGCTTCCTTCAGCCCTCCACCTACGAGCTCACAGGGCTTGAAATGTGTCATTATCTTTAGAAAAACCTTCTACTCGAAAGGAGTTCTAATGATCATTATTTTGAACTTTAGGGTTTTATATTTTCACTGTTTGTAAAGGAACAATATCTATTCCTTTTGCTTTACTTTGGCTGCAAGGGGAAAATGAGCCTAATTAGCAAAAGCAAAAATAAACTAAGTTGGTCAGAAAAGCAGATCTTGCAAATTTGACGACCTTCCCTTGCAAATGCTGATATGAAAAAGGATAAAGATTTTATGAAATGTCCTTGCTTTGGAGTTTTGTAGGGATGAATGGGTAGAGAAGACAGTAGCTGTGTGTGGATGAAAGGCTTTTAGAATGTAACTTTGTGGATCATCTATACTATGAACCACTTAGAACTGTGATACCCTTGCTGTTTTTCAAGTACTACAATGAGTATAAAAGGCTTTGTAAAATTCTTTGAGCTGATTCTTATTCTGGCCTCTCTGCTTTGAAAGGATATGGAAAATACATCGTTTGGGAAGTCTTCTGGCCAGCTGAGCTCTCCAAGGATAAGCTTGAAAACATGCTAGATTGATGTTCTGGAGCAGCTCCAAGAAAGCTTGGCCAGTGTGTGATGGCAACTGCGCCTACCCCGAAATTCAGGGAGGGAAATGTGTGCTTGCCTCTGGGTTGTGTGTGTTTGTAGGGTCACTCCTCAGCAGGGACAAGCAGCACAGCTGCTGTTTCCTCCAGCAGGGTGAGGGTGATTCATGCCAGCTGAAAGTCTGGGTCTCCACATCCTTGTGCCAGCACAGGCACCCCTGGCTGGCTCTTGCTGAGGTTGTTTCCCCTCGGGTCAGTGTTATTTCCAGCAAAGGCAGTGGAAGCAGCTTGGATGTTGGTTTTTCAGCAGCAGATCTGCGCTGTGTGCGGGGCAGTTCCTGGCTGTGGGGAGGCAGGGGACAGCCCCTGAGGGTGGTGGCAGCTCCATGGCTCTGGTGCTCAGCCTGGGGCTGGGCAGGGCCAGGGCTCGGCCGGGTGGGTGCCCACGGGACACTGTGCTCTGTGCTCTGGGCCCCAGCTCCCCTGCACCCCACCAGCTGCTCCTTGCTCCTCGCAGACTGTGTGCTCCTTTGGGAGACAGCACTTGCTGAGGCTGGGGTGCCTGTATGGCTCCTGACTTGTGTACGAAGAATCTCCTTCCAAAAGGTCTGAAAACGTCTCCAAGTTTTAAGATTCATTTCAGAAATCCCACTTCAGTCTGGCATTGAACATTGCTATGAATAAATGCTCTGCTGCTCCAGTTTTCAACAAAAGGGCTCCTTTGCCTGGCACTACCAGGCTTGTTCTCCTTTTCAGACCTAAGTTTGAAAACAGGAGGTTCTGCTAGTCTTTACAGGGTTTAATTTCTCTTTTGTTTTATAAAATCCTGTCTTTGGAAATGAGTTCCATAATAACCCCATTTTTAAAAAATGGTGTTTGCCACTTAGCTGTTTTCCATTTGGAGGTGTTTTATTTAACATTAGATTAAAGCAAGAAGGCAAAGTGAATTCTGTTTTCCTATTTTCCTGTGTTCTGTATTCATAGGCTTTAACATCTGCCCTCCATCCCCTTCCTGTGATCATGCAACATCAAACCATGCAGGAATAAGTCAGGGTTGATCTTTCTGCCATGCTATGCTCTCCTTGAACATTTGACTGAAAAGTATTTGTTTGTAAATGCTACCACTGCTTTTTGTTTTGTCTGTAGTGACTTTGGAGTTGCACCTTTTCTCTTATGTTTAAGAGTTCCAGTTCATGGTGATATTTAAGAAAGAACTCAGCCAAAACACAGAAGAATTGAAGGCCAGTCATCAGAGGGGAAGAATATAGCCTGACAAGTCTACAGAGTAAATAAGATTGTAGAGGTGTGTCACTTCATTTCAATTAAATATCTATGCATTCTCACCCACTTGTGTTCTGCAGCTTTGCTGGTGAGTAGAAGGATTTCCTCAGTGATGTTGTTTACTTTTTGTTCATTCATATTTGAGCTTACAAATTGCTTGAAAGCAACTTAACATTTTGCATAGAAATTTCACACAGTTGAAGGTTTTTCTGTGCTGGAGAGAATGTGAACAGAATTTACATTTGTTGATTTTAAAGTCCTAGAGTGTGGAAGCCTCCAGAACTGCCCATTGCCAATGTGTGGAGCAGTTCCTCTGCCTGTTTACCCTCTCATTTTCCCCATTGTTTTTTTCCTAGCCAGATATTTGGTTGCCTCGCCTCTATTTCCTGCAGAGTTCATTCTCTCTCTGCCGCGGGCTGGCAGTGCGTGCCTGGGGCTGTGCTGGCAGCCCTGGTGCCCGGGGAGCCGGGCGCTGCTGTGCCCAGGGTTCGGCGCAGGGACGTTGCCCTGGTGGTGCCCGTGTGCCATTGGCAGCGAGGGCAGCAGGGCTGGGTGCTCCTGCTGCTGGGCTGGCCTGGGGGCGAGCCCTGGGCACAGCACAGCCTGCCGGTAATGCAGAATATGAGATGGACACACATGGCATGATTGGGAGCCTGTGAGAAGCTGTTTTTCACAGCCGCTCCTGGTGTGTTGAGATTAAATGTCCTGTCACACTGGGCGTGTGTACACTTCCAGGCAGGAGCTGACCTCTCCAGTGACTGTAATTAGAAACAATTTTCAGATTTGTGATGAGTTCTGTTTCACAGTGTGCACATACAGTCCACCCAGAGAAGAAGTTTTTTTTGCAAATTGAGCTTGTTCTCTCAAATGCAACTACATCTACAGATGTCTTCAGAATACCTTGCACTGTCTGTGAGAGCTGTAAAATAACTGCAAGATGATAAACTCACCTTTTTGCAATTATTAAATATGCTTGACTCATTCCAGCCTGTTGCTGTGGAGATAGGTACAATATAGGAACCTTGGCACTATGACAGGCAATTAAAATACCAAGATGTTTAGCCATGTATGAGTATTTTCACACAGTGAGACCTCGAAGCTTAGCCCGCTGCTGACATTGTTAGTTATTGAACCAGTTGCATGAGATGAGGTTGACAGGTGTAATTATATATTTCTATGGTGATTATGTATGGCCTGTCATAGAGACCAACGTGCCTGTAACTGCCCTCAATAAATGATTACTCATTTAGTAATCATTTATTGAGTGAAGTATTGGAGTTGGCACGCCGTTTACAGGGGAAGGAAATGGAAAACAAAACAGAAGGACATTTTGAAATATAATTGATTCATTAAACCATTTACCAATGCTTCATTTTAGTGCATGGAAATATATCTTTCTGTATTTCCTACAGATGTCACAGTTATTTAAGGATATTCTTGCACCCTGACTTTAACAAAAGAATAAAACTCATGCAGTGAGTTCATGAGAAGCTGGGTCTGAGGTCTTTAGCTGCCTCACCCTGGGAGAAGTTATGGAGCTCACTGGAACTGTCTGAATATGGGACCATTTAAAAATATTTGGCTTACTTGTTAAAAGAGTGCAAAATCTTTCAAAATAACCCCCTTTCTTTGCAAACACATCTGTACAATCATCTTCTGTGTAGTAGCTGCTCTTCAAAATGTGTTAAAAATTATACAAATATTTTTGGAATTCATTGAAGTGGACTTGGGCCATTGCTGGAATTCCTTATTCATTTTCCAGATAAAAAATTTTCTGTGTAGTAAACATCACCCAAAACTTTGCTCTGTTATTTCCCATGTAGTTCTCCCTGGTGTTTGTGCCACTCTGATGATAGGAGTGAAAAGTCTCTGCTTCTCAAAGTGAGAGGAGGCTGAGAGAAATGAAATATTGCTCTCAGTTTGTTAAGAGGTCCTTGGACCTGGTTGAAATCAAGCAAAAAATTTGACTAATTTTCCTTAGCCACATCTCTCTGCAATACAACTATTACCTTATTCACAGAAGTTTCAATGTCTAAGATAGTTATGGGCTAGGGTTATTTGCTGGTGTTTTTGTTTAGTTTTGGGGGTTTTTTTGTTTGTTTGAAGTAAAAGAGTAGCAGCTTTTAGTGACTGCTTTAACAAAAAGAGCCCACTGTATTTTGGAGAAAAACAGGATCCGGGAATTCTCTGGTCTTCTAGGATAGACTGAAAAATGCAATAGGAATTTGTGGATATAAATAATAAAAAACCCAATTTCCCCTCATTTTATAGGATACAAAAAGAGGCTTTTACATAAAACTTTCATTATGTGCTTAATTAACCATCAGAATTTTTTATCTGTTTTTAACCAAAAGCTGTTTCTCACAGCTTTTGTGATAGATATGAGATGATATCTATGAGATAGAGAGAAGGAGAGCATAGAGATGGTGGGGATGTGGCCAAATGATGAATATTTAGAAGACTGTCCTTTGGAATCAGTAATTAAACTAAGTTCAAATGCCAAAATGTGGATGCAAACCTAAACTTGGAAAGTTTCATCACAAGGTTTGGAAGAACCTTTTTTCCCCAGTCTCATCTGCTTAGAACACAGTGGTTTCCATTAGGAAGCATTTGGGTTAATATCTGGCTTTCTAATCATGTGCTTGGAAAGACAGCTTTTGTTGCTTTTCCAGACAACTTCCCAAGCATGCAGTAAAATGGGTGCTGTTCCAAAAAAAAATATCCTGAATAAAGTGATGTCTGGTGAATTGCATTTTTGGTCTTTCTATCACTAAGATAGAGTTTGAGGACTTTTTTTTTTTTTTAATTTTCTTGTAGTGAAGTTCAATTCAAGTAGAAGAATATTTGATGTTGGAAGAGGTCTCTGGAGATCATCTCATCCAACATCCCTGCTCAGGGAGGGTAAATTGGAGCAGGTTGCCCAGGATCATGTTCAGTGCGTTTGTAATATCTCCAAGGATGAGGAGAGTTCTCTTGTTTAGGTGTCCTGTTCCAGCGATCAATCACTCTTACATAAAGGTTTCTTATGTTTAAATGATATTTGCTGTATTTTGGACATTGCTGTATTTGAAAGACACTGCCTGTCTTTTTTCACTAGACACCATGGAGAAGAGTCTGGCTCTGTCCTTTGCTCCTCTCATCCATTTATAAAAACAGGTGAGATCCCAGTTCTCTCTGCTTTTTTGGTCAGATGCTCCCTTGCAGTCTCTGGGACTATATGGAGGAGAAATACCCATCTTCTCTGTGCCTGAGAAATCTGTTTTTAAGGGGTCTGGGGCCCTGTTCTGGAGCAGATGGTGCTGGGGAGCTGCTGGTGCCCTTCAGGGGAGGGAGCCCTTTGGAGCTGCCTGCACAGGCAGGGTGGGATCAGCCCTGGGCAGAGAGGATGGGGGGCTCCAGGGCCCTGAGGGGCACCCCAGCATTTACAGTCAGGAGCACCCATGGGCTCTGATGGGGCTCCCTGGCACTCCTGGCACTGTGCTCATCCCAGTCAGGAGCACCCATGGGCTCTGATGGGGCTCCCTGGCACTGTGCTCATCCCAATCAGGAGCAGCCATGGGCTCTGATGGGGCTCCCTGGCACTCCTGGCACTGTGCTCATCCCAGTCAGGAGCAGCCATGGGCTCTGATGGCACTCCCTGGCTCTGTGCTCATCCCCTGGCTCCAGCGCTGTGCCTGGCCCGCTGCTCCCTCCCTGCCTCTTCCCACGGGGATGCACACCTCATCCCCAGAGAGGGGTGGTGTATTTATCTAATCTCGAGCTTTAATGCCCTCCTGGATGGCCCTCAAACCAACCAGGCTCTGAGGGAGGACAGGAAATGGAGCACAAGCCTTCAGGGGCCAGCCAGGACCACACCCCCCTCGCTGTCATCACAGCAGCGACATTTTCTCAGGATAGGATATGAGCAAAGGGCAGAATTTGCTTTTCCCTTGTACACTTTCTATTTTCATACACAATTTATTTCTGACTTTAATGTCATTCTCTGTTTTTTATTCCAGCCTTGACCACGTCGCTCCAACTGTTCTCATAACTCCCATTGCTGATGTTCTAACATGATGCAGTCATAAACTGGATCTTTCTTTTCTTTTTATGTACTTTTTAATTATCTAAAGGCTAAACTTTTGACTGCCACTTCTCATTTGCACGCTGGATTTGGGGTTAGAAAACAAGTTTGCTTATTTAATATTTGCTTTGATTTGGTGATTAGTCTTTGCTCTTAATTATTTTTACCATTTCCACATGAGTGATCAGGAAATTAACAGCTGTCTCACACTTTCAGCAAGTTAAAAACAGCCTATCGTATTTCCTTATTGACGTTTTACTTGCCCCGTGCAGAATGTTTTAAGATGCTGCTTCTCTTGAGTTTCCCACCTCACAGCTTGAGTAATGCCACAGCTTTTAAAAATGTTTCCCTTTTGACTTGCCAAGGCCATGAAGACAAGTAAAGTCATCCAGCATAAAAGGTGTATGTGAACAAAACATGAATGGAAGGTGTGGGTCAAGTTACAGTCCAAACAAGAATATTAGAAGCAGTTTTGGAGACTGAGGAGACCGGTCCTGTGGCACACGTCTGCAGTGAGAAATACTGCCATCCTGGGATTCTGTGTGGTGTTTACACACTCATAGCAAATCCTCTTTAAAAAGTAAAAATAAATGGATTGCTGCTCCTTTTTCCACTGATGTTTTCCTTTTATCTTTTCATTCCTTTTCAAATTGGTAATGATTGTAAATCACTCCTTGCCACAGAAAGTGCTTTTTCTCCAAGAGCAGTTATTTGATTCCTGTAATCTTATTTATTAGTTAAATTCAATAAGTGCCCAACCTATGCTCTAAATGCCTTTTAAAAATACACTAATAAACAGCTCTTGATTGCTTTTTGATTGAATTGCAGATAATGATATTTATATCATCAGTGAGTTGAGGGAATCAGCCCTCCCAGGGAGGCGTTTCCAGCTCTGCACTCTGGCTCTGCTTGCAGACATGAGATGAAGATGAGCGTGGTGGTGGCTTTGGCTTTCTCTGTGCTCCTGCAGTCTTGGGCTTTTGGGGCTTTAACAGATTCGCTGCAATTATTTGACTGATAAGTGACAGAGATCTATTTGTACAAATACTAAGTGTTGCAGAGTTGGACTAGAAACTGCTGGGGCTGGTGTAATTTGCGGTGCTGAGCAAAGGAAAATGGTGTGCAGATCTTTTCACTTAAAGTACTTTTTGTGCGTGCTTTTTGATGTGAATCCTGGCTTCTTTGAAGTGGAATTTAAGGGTTAGGATTTGGGCACTGCCCAGCTGGATTGGAGTCATCACTAGGTGCAGCATGGCTCATTTTGAAGCACCTGTATGTGTACCTCATTTTTGATGTGCTTGAAGAGGGATTGGTGAAGAATTGGGTGGAGCTCATCATGATACTCCTGTCAGGGCTAGGAAAATGCCCAAGAACATCCTGCAATGCCTTTTCCTTAGCCAGCTGTGGAGAGGCACAGCAAGAGGGAAGACACAGGAGTTCCTCTGCTTTACACCAGTGTGCTTGAAAAGGCTGCCAGGCCTTCTCTGAGGCACGAGGCAGCATCTTCTGCTGGGGTGACACAGAGTTCTCCAGAAAGTGCCATCCTCTGCCCCGTGTGGAGGTCAGAGGCAATCCAACAAAGGTGATAATCACTGGGGTTCTCAGTGTGGGGCACGCTAATGGCAGCACTGTGATGGTGTGTGGCTTTCTGAACCTTACAGCTCCTGAAGGGGTACATCAGTTCCAAAGGAGAAGAAATAAAGTACTTTGCAAATGTTGCTGCAGACAGATTCTCTCTCTTAGCCAAACTATGGTTTCTTGCATTTATTTTATTTAGTCAGTGTATTAATGCCATGATATTGCTTGTAAAATCTGTTCCTAGCCAGTCACTTCAGTCTAATTGAAAACTGTAAGTAATTTGAAATCAAAGGGAGTCTTTGTTTGACTGGCAAACAGCAGAAGGGTGAACTCTGAGCATCCCCCTGCTGCATCCCGAGCTGGGGTGGGCAGGCAGCCTGCCTGGGCTGAGAGGGGAGCAGGCTGGGGCTGCCCTGCCTTGCACTGGTAATGCCCCCTCATCCATCTTTGGAGCTGGCACTGAGCATCAAACCCTGTCACTGCCTCTAGGCCACCATAGTATTGCAATTTGTGCTCTTCAGCAAAGGTGGCCCCCAGGTAAGACCAAACTTTTTGTTTTTAAGGCTGAAGTTTTATCTGCATCTCTGACTGGCTGGGAGCTGGAAGTGCTGCCTCCCTTTTCTGATTTAAGGGCTGCTGACTTCCACTTCAGATGGGTTGGATGTGACAGCAAAAGGCTAATACATTCTTACAGCTGCCTTGTCTGGCTGCCGAGCTGGGCTGTAATTGGAGCAGTTTTTCAGTGGTTCAGATGTCAGCTGGGTGTGGGCTGAGGTTCACTGCCACGATTTATTTCAAAGGTTTTCAGAGCTGGGCGTCTGGGCCTTATTTAGGTATTGAAGTCAGTGCAGTGATTTTTTTTTTCAGTGTATTTGCAGTTGATTCAAAGATCTGCCGGAACTGTTGGGAGATGTGTGACCCCTGAAGCCTGATTCTGTGTACCTCGTGTAGCAGGGCCAGAAGGATTTGCCCTAAAGGTTGGAAGAGTATTTCTCAGGGCAGTGCTTGATGCTCCTCTCAGCTTATTATAAGCTGCAAATTAGGAACTCTGAGCACTTTTATTTCTATTGTGGTTTTTTTCATTTGACTTGAAAACATTACTGTGGATGTTCTGACCAGCCTCTCTACTATTTTAATTTTTTTTCCCCTAAAAGGAAAGGGAACTTTTAACATGCTGTCATGTGGCTCTGATTTACACTAGAATTTGCAAATCAAGGCTGGTGTGACTCTAATCTACTGCTGTGCTCCCCCTGGGAGCATCTTCAGCAGACGTGGCATGGAAAGATCTGGTGACTCTGCTTGAGGACAGCAGTGAATGGCAGCAGAGGTGCTTGTGATCTGCCACCAGTCCATTCTTATTTACAAATAGTCTTTACAGCCATCACAACTGCAAAACACTATTTTAAAAGACAGAAACAAATATTCAAAAGACAGACAAGATAGTCTAATATTAAACAAATATGAAACAGTTATATATTTGTCTGTTGAAAATTGTACTCACAGCTTTTAACTTCTTTTGAAACAGAGCAATCAACATGCCAGGCTGAAGATAATCTTAGAGATGAACAACTCTGGGGTTTCACCTGCTGGTTGCATCCCTCACCTCTTCAGTTAGGCCTGGAGCATATACCATGGCTTCTCACAACATAAATTGGACCTCCTCTGATCAGTACATAAGCATGTTGGTTGGGAAAAAAATATCCAAAACTTCAGAGATTTCTAACCATGTTGTGAAAATAGAAGAGACAGACTTTTCACATTGTTGCTTTTAACTGCTGTGGTGAGAAGTGCTTCCAGAATCAGAGGGCAGAATCTAACACACAACACAAGTCTTGTTTTGTCTTTCTCTTTTTAAAATTACTTAGATAGTTGCAGGGAATGACTGAAGGAACGCAAATCAATGAAAACAAGCTGTACTGCATGTGGCTTAATGTGCCTCTAGGCTCCTTTGTGAGGAGTGGGAGGTGAATGAGGTTTGTGCAAAGAGCAGGCGGAGAAGCCCCCGCTCCCTTTGGGCTCCGCTGGTGCTGCTCAGTGAGGGGGGATGTCGGGGGTCCCTGGGAGCCGCTCAGGCTCTGCCCTGGCTGCGCACTGGGAGCTCTTGCCTTGCCCTAGCCCTGCCTTGCCCCAAGGGAGCTCAGCAGGGCAGGCAGCAGGGTGAGAGCTGTGTCCTGCGGGAGCAGTGCAGGTGACACTGGGGCACTTGGGTAAGGCCTGGGGCTGCTTTGATTTTTTTCGTAAAGAGAAAGAGAACTCCCTTTGAAATGGTGTATTTTTCTCAAAAGGATACTGAAATACAGCACTATCTCTGTGTGATCAGCAGCCTCAGTAGCTTTGGTACCAAGTTCTGATGAAAAACATATTCCAGCGCAACTGATCCACTACTAGAAATGTGAATCGTATCTCTTTCTACCTGTGGCTTTTCATACTATTTCTGACTCTGCGTAGTATTATCTCGTTTGATAAATACCCTGAGATTTTATGAAATGAGTGCATTGTGGAATTTGTGGTGCAGCTCTTAGGAAATACAAAGCATATTTATGGCTCCCCCTTTTGCACGTGCAAAGTTGTGCCTGGGTATGGGCAGGGGCACAGAACGTTGGCACGAGCTTCAGACATGTCAAAGAACTCAGTTAATGGTCAGTTATGTGCCTGGAGTCAAATGAGAGTCCAGGGTGGAGAGCTTCATCCAGCTAATCTGTTCATCTTACTCTACTGTTTTTGTGACAAAGTTATTTTGTGTTATTGTACATGTTTGAAGATCCTAGAAGTAGTTTTGTTACTACAATGTGTAGTGGATGCAAACTTTCAAATGTGAATTAGCCTGCCTGGTTTTCAGTGTTTTCTAACAAAACAGAAGGAGGAGATCTTTGTGGATGACTAGAGCTTTTCAAGGCTTCTTGTAGCTGCCTGAAGGCAGAGGCAAAAATATCTGTGTTTTCAATCTTATGTTTATTAATTTTATATTTATTATTTATTTTATATTTATCCTCCACATGTAGCTGACTTTGCATATCTTGTTATAAAGAATCAGCATTTTGGGGGGTGTTTTTGTTTGTTTTTCTGTTTTAAAAATGGTGGTAGTTTAAAATATTTTCTGAGCCAAAGGTCTTATTTAACTTTGTGACCTAGGTGCAATTTAAAGTGAATTATGATATTCTGTGACTTCTTAGATTTTGGCTCACAGTCTTTAGATGCTTTCATTCCCACACCTGCCATCCATTAGGAGACCTCCTTCTGTGATCTTTCATCATTCAGAATATATGATGATTTTCTTAAACACTTGAGCTAATTGGGAGTGACTTGGTTTTAAATATATGGCAGTATTTGTAAATAGCAGACATTGGGCAGGCTTGAAATAAATACATGCAATTTGGCAGGAGTTGTTAAAAAATGCAAAGCCACTTTGAGATGACATTCAGACATTGAAATGAATTCCAAAAGGGGCTGTGTACACAGGACAGGCCAGGCAGACCCTGTTCCCTGGAGACTTGCTGGGAATCCCAAATGCTCTTCCCTGCTAGAGAGATCTGCTGATGCCAGTCCTTGTCCCTCAGCCTGCCTCCAGACTGCAACACAAGGTACGAATGAAGGTGCCAAATCTGGAACCTTGTATGTCATTGGGATGGCCTGTAACGAGTCAAGCCTCTTCAGGGCAGGGCAGACTGAGCAGCTCTGTCTGGCCCCAGCCACTTTTGGCTGTGTCAGCTTTCAGGAGAGCAGCTGACAAATCATCCCAGTGCTGTGGTGGCGTAATAGGAGAGACTCACTGGGTTTGAAGCCTGAGTAACTCACGTATGAAACATTATCTGCATAGCTGAAACCTTCTCAGAGTTGTGATATGATCACTTTGGGCTTGGGACTGCGCAAGGAAAACAGCTGTTCTCTATTTTGTTAGTGGTACTTTGACACGTATTTGGGGCAGATCCTAGCAAGTGCAGGCCCTGGCGTGCTTTGCACTGCTTCCTTTTGGTGTTCCTGTCCTGTGTGCTCTACAGATTTAAAACACAGCATGCAGATGGGACATCTTCCCCTTTTGCTTGCACATTTCTCTTCCAGCAGGACGCTGACCAAATGTTCTTCATTCTAAACCACACTGAGAGCTGCATGAGATGATAAACAGTAAGGCTGGGGACACCAGGGAATGGGAGAGCTTGGGCTGTCTGGAAAATAATCAGCCTCCCTGAGAGGAGGTACTTCCATCAGTAACTCTTGTGCTCTGAGTCTAAAGGA